GGGCACTGCTCCTTATTGTGCCTTTAACATTCAAGACACAATTTATTACTCAATATGAAGCAGTGAAATCAGCATGTGCTCATATGTGTATACATGTATCTTTGCTTTAACATGGACCTAAACCTAAAGGAAATTCCATGAAAGCTGTAAACCGATTTAAAAAATTACCCCAACTTTGACCATTATTTTCATGGCTCCCTGCAATAAAATAGAGTCCATGTGTTCTTAATATTTGTATGATTTAGTGATATTCCATAGAATAATTCAATTTCAAAAAGGCAGTGAACAATAGATGTGGTAGAAGGCCCTGAAGGGAAGAAATGGGTTAGAGAGAATCAGTAAAACTAAAAATATGCACCATCAGACTTCCAAAGCAAAGCCAGCTATAAGGGAGCAGAAAGCATCATAAGAAATCTCTTATTTTGTGCTGGCACTGGGGGCAAAGATTTTACTTTTTAATTTCTTGAGGACAAATTGACTTTGTTAACACAGCATCTTTATTTTTACCACATCATTTAAAATTATATTTACAGTTTTAAAAGAAAATCTTTAGCTAAATTAAATTTAGCAGAGTTTATTTGAGGAAAGAATAATTCATGTATTGGGCAGCCCTCAGAACCAGGAGAGTTTCAGAGAACCCCACCCAACATCAGCAGGCACTATTACATGGGAGAAGGAAATGACATGCAGAAACAGTTTGATTGGTTACAGCTCAGCATTTGCCTGATACAGACATGCTCTGATTGGTTGGCAGTCTGTGATGGGCCAAAGCTCAGCTGCTGTGATTGGCTGAGGCTCAGCCACTTGTTTTAAGAATATGTTCTTAAGTTAGTCTGAAGTTTGTTCTGTACAGAGGCTACTTTAGGCCGAATTTAGTTTAATTTAGCAAGAGTTCTATTATCAATACCAATCTGTAGATTACTATAATTAATCTATATTTGTCCACTACTCCTTTTGTGAATTGGAAAACCTAAAAATCTGTGGAAAGTTTTTATAATCCTAGGGTGACAGAATATATTACCAGACCTTAATGAATTTGGTGATGAAACCAAATTGACAAAATTATTTAGTTTTTGTTTATCCCACTTGTGGCAAATGTTTATACATTTTGCTGCTCAAACAATGTTTGACTATAGAGGGAAGCTCTAGATCACTTGGACATGTGATATAATGTACTATAAGGATACTATTATCTGACTAAAATTCAAAGTTTTCTGAAATTGGAAACCTATCTGGCCCTGATGATTTGGATTAGTAATTGCGGATCTGAGCTCATTTTCTCCTTTGATTTTATCAAGAAGAAATTTTAAATTATGTGCTACAATCTTGAAAATGTTTCTTTAGTACCTTGAAGTTTCTCAATGTCTCTATCATGAAGGAAGTAGCTGAGTCAGGTTTTAACAAACAAAGAACTCTGGGTACAAATTATACAAGGGACTGAAAATAATTTAAAACATGATAAAATATCAAGGAGCACAATTCACAACTCAAGAATGTGAAGAGTTTTATGTATTTTGTTCTTTAACTACCTTAAGTATGTGCTGAATGAGTATACGTACACACAATATATATACACACATATACATATAAAACCTACACATGTAAATATTTCATCAGTCTAATGACAGACTTGGAAAGCAGAATGGGAGTTGCTGAATGTGTATGTATATGCCTCATGCCTTATTCTCACAATAGATCACAGTAGTAGTTCAAAAGCTGATGCTTAAATCCAATGTGGTGCCTCTGATGAAAAAAAAAGATGCTTATTATAGATGTAAATATACATATACACATAATCTCTACCCACTAGACTATTGGCCATCAAATATTTTTCCTATGTAATTGTAGAAAATTAGTATTTTTCAGTATTTTACCCATTAGAGTTGCTGGAGTATTGGTTCTCTATGTATGGTGCCAAATTCCTGGGAGGATAGTTTTTGGGTGGTTACTGTTTACCTGAGTAATTCAGAAGGCATCTGAGTTGTGCACAAAGCACTCTGTTGGGAGTAGAGTGAGTCAGGCACAAGTCCTCTGTTTATGCTATGCTTCGACTCCCAGGAAGCTCCACCTGCCCTCTTTATGTATTTATTTATTTATTTTTTGAGATGGAGTATTGCACTGTCACCTGGGGCTGGAGTGGAATAATATGATGTCAGCTCACTGCAACCTCCACCTCACAGGCTCAAGCAATTCTCCTGCCTAAGCCTCCCGAGTTGCTGGGATTACAGGTGCCTGCCACAATTCCCAGCTAATTTTTTTGTATTTTTAATAGTGATGGGGTTTCACTATGTTGGCCAGGCTGGTCTCGAACTCCTGACCTTGTGACCTGCCCACCTCGGCCTCCCAAAGTGTGGGATTACAGGCATGAGCCACTGCACCCGGCCTCCACCTGCCCTCTTTAAGGCGAAAGTCTGGTTTATCACTGTTATAAATAGGGCAGGGCATGGCATTTGGACAATCTGCATTTACTGAGGGTCCATCTGCCAAAATCTGAAGAAGACACTGAGAGCTGTTACAATGTTACTAGCAGGCAGAAAAGTCTTTCTCTGTAAGAACTCACAATATAAGCAGAAAACAGGGTAATCACATAATAAAGGAATTATCTAAGGTACATTAATAAAAGCGCATTGATAGTGTTATTAATATGCATTATGAATGTCAAATTCAATAACATATTCAGATGAAAACTATGAAGGCCTGGACTTGCTGAAGGCACGGTTTTCACCTTTGCTTTTGGTATGCAGGTAGGTATTGCAGAATGTGCTCTTTATAGAGGTTAAGAAGATGCTGTAATGTAAAAAGGAATACAGCACACAGCTAAGTTCCCATCTAAACTTGGTGCCACAGCAAAAAAAATAATCAACAAAGTGAAGACACCAATCCGCAGAATGGGAAAAAGATATTCACCAACTACCCATCTGACAAGGGATTAATAACCAGAATATATAAGGAGCTCAAACAACTCTATAGAAAAAAATCTAATAATATGATTTTGAAATGGTCAAAATCTCTGAATAGACATTTCTCAGAAGACATACAAATGGCAAACAGGTATGTGAGAAGGTGCTCAACATCACGATCATCAGAGAAATGCCAATCAAACTACAAAGAAATATTACCTTACCCCAGTTAAAATGGTTTTCATCCAAAAACAGGCAATAACAAAGGCTGGTTATTTGTCATTGGAGAAAAGGGAAACCCTCATACACTGCTAGTGGGAATGTAAATTAGTACAGCCACTATGGAGAACAGTTTGGAGGTTCCTCAAAGGAGCACAGATAGGACTACCATATGATCCAGCAACCCCACTGCTGGGTATATACCCCAAAGAATGGAAATCGGTCTATTGAAGAGGTATCTGCATGCCCATGTATATTTATATTGCAGCATGTTTCACAATATCCAAGATTAAGAAACAACCTAAGTGTCCATCAACAGGCAAGTGGATAAAGAACTGTGGTACAGGTGTAGAATAGAGTACTCTTCAGCTAAAGGAAAGAATGAGATCCTGTCATTTGCAACACTATGGATGGAACTGGAAGTCTTTATGTTAAGTGAAATAAGCCAGGCACAGAACAACAAACTTTGTATGTTCCCACCTATTTGTGGCCGCTAAAAATTAAAGCAATGGAACTGATGGAGATGGAAAGTAGAAGAATGGTTACCAGAGGCTGAGAAGGGTTGTGGGAGGGTGGGAGGAGAGTGGGGATGGTTGATACATGCAAAAAAGAGTCAGAAAGAATGTGTATGATCTAGTATTTGATAGCACAACAGAGTGACTACAGTCAATAACAATTTAATTTTACAATTACAAATAACTAAAAGGATGTAATTGAATTGTTTGTAACACAAAGAATAAATGCTTGAAGTGATGGAAACCCCACTTACCTTGATGTGATCATTACATTATTATATGCCTGTATCACAATATCTCATATACCCCATAAATATATACACCTACTATGTAATCACAGCAATTAAAAATTAAAATAAAAATAATAATAGAGTTGGTGCCAGTAAAAAGATGAGAGAATGAATTGTAAATGAAGGATTAGCTCTGAAGCCTCGGGCACAGAGAGACATAGAGCTCCCATACTGCCTCCTGTCAGCTCTTGAAAACATTCCACCGACTGTATCATGGCCATTATTTTCGAGTATGGGAACCCCTTTTGTTTCCTAACAAAAAGTCAGAATTTTTCCATTTCTTAGCCATGATGTGAAGGGAACTTACGATTTCTTTCTCCAAACTCTGGGGGCCTTGTGAGTGAAACAGAGAGGGCAGACCATGCTTCAACATGAATGCAGCAGCATCCTTTGGAAACAATCTCAAGACCTAACTGAAAACCCATGTTTCTAATTTAAGCATGAGACAGTTATTACTCATACAGCCAGAGAGGATTCCAAGTCCCTGCCTATTTGCAGCACTATCTAAAAACAATCAACTCATCTTTCAAATCTGACCAAACTACAAATGGTATGAAACTCAGTCGTTTATTAAGGATGTTCATTTTGGCACTCAGCAGCTTACGCATGGCTCACAGATGGCATCTGTCTCGTTTTGCGTAATCCAATCATCCTGTACTACTGCGTCTCACACTTAGTCTCCAGGAGTAATTGAAAAGCTCACAGTGACAATTGTGTCTTCTTCCAGATGTCATCACTATAAGGACTGGGGCTTTCATCACCTCCTTGACGTAGGATGTGTACATGGCTCTCCAGGTCAGACTTGCTCCAAGCAAGGTAAAGAGAAATTGCTTCTTTGCATTGCCTTTCAGTTGCTGCCTAGCACTGGTGTAAATGAATATGTTCTATAAATGGCCTCTCTGTCAGTGGGCAACTTGTTTCACTTTTGGCTGGGAACCATACTGCAAACATTCTGCTGCACGGCTTGCATCTTGTGGTAATTGGGCAATATAAAGGCACCCATGCCCAAGAAAGGATTCTAAAACATGTAAATAGTGGCTGTTTTGAAGGCACCATTTATTTAGAGGTAAGCTCTCTGGTATTAACACCTGCACGTCTGCTATCATTTTCTGAAATCATGACAGTTTGTTCTCAATTTTTTTTTCCGGGGGGTGGATTTTATTTTCGTAACTTCTGAAGGATGTGCAAAATTTTAAAGGCAAAGTATTGAAACATTTCAAGCTGTAGGTTTGTTAGTTTCTTTTTCCCCTGAGGCTAGTGTTAATAGTTGTGTTTTACTTCAGTGTAAAAATACCCCTTTAAAAAAAAAATCAAAGATTCTGAAACAAGGAAATACGCAAAGCCTCAAAGCAGCTGTGTAAATTCACACAGGCTTTGGGCCTGTAACGAGCCAGCCTTAAGGGAATGATAGTGGAAAATCAGATTTTTACTTAACAATTAAATTACAATTATGAATGAGTGCTACATTCATTTTAGTCAAATATCAGCACCGTGTGTATTTCCTCAAGCTTTTTCTGCACGCTGCCATCATCACCACGTACGTCATCAGTAAGAAATGCTGAGCATGACAACACATAAGAAAATTTTTCAAGGTCAGTAAAAACATTATTTCAGGAAAAATAGTTTTTAAAAACTTATTTTTAAGGGGTTTTTAAACTGTTCATAATTTATGTATAGATTTGGGATTAAACTAGCACGAATAACTTCTACTGAAGAGATAAAAATTAAACTATAAAATCGTTTCTCTTAAGTAGCTTACACAAAGAATGAGGACTCTATATTTAGTCGGGGCTTACACACACACACACACACACACACACACACACATTCATTGCAGGCAAATATCCAGATAGTTGCTGCAGTCCCTATCTCAGAATCATCTGAGCTTCATGTGTAGAATTACAGCCTTAGGACTTTAGAAGAATAGTGAATATGTTCGAAATAGGTTGTTGACTATCTGAATTCTCATGCTACATCCCTTTAAATTGTGAGTTAACTTTTCTTTTAAGTGCTTGTTCACTGTCAATATTATCAGCACAAAAATTACTGATCTGCTCATAAATTAATAGTAATAGCAAAAGTGACCTTCATGTAGAGATAACTCGAATACTCAACAAACATTTACTGAGTGCATGCAGTGTGCCAGGCATTGGGCTAATTAAATCCCCCCTATCTCTACACTTTAAATGAGAGAAAAGCTGACTCACAGCAAAGAGTCATGGCCAAAGGCCATTTAATTAATTTGCTGTCTGGGAAAATAGCACAAGAACTGGGAAGAAAGCCCAAGTATGAGGACTGCTCAATTGTTCAGAATACAATGTGTTCTACTCCAGTAGACTACATGTTTCCTAACTATGTTCAACTAATGTAAACTTCCCTCTGTAAAACAAATGTAAAAATCTCAGAAGCACAACACATTCCTGCGTATCCTCAGAGGTTTTCACTTGAACTGGAGAGTTTCATACATATAGGCAATTTCAAAGGGAACTGCTTATTGGTAGGATGGATCCTTTGCTGTGATTCTGCAGGTGAGAGAGTCATACCTCATGATTTCTCCGGGAATTGTCCAAAAATCTACAATGCAGGCTTTCTCATGGGGAGAAGTAGGAGAGAAAGTGTTATCTATTGAGCACACACAGCACTTAATATTAAGAATTTTATACATGTTCAGAATTCAAATCCCTTATGAAACTTTATCTGTAGATGAGTAGAACCAAACTCAGAAAATAACAAGCCAATGTCACACACTTGCCAGTGATGAACTGGGGGAGAAACCCCAGTGTATCTGACCTACAGTCCACGTACTTTTTAACAGACTATGGTTCTGGCTGGGAGCGGTGGTTCATGTCTGTAATCCCAATGCTTCGGGAGGCCGAGGCGGACAGATCACTTTAGGAGTTTGAGACCAGCCTGGTCAACATGGAAAAACCTCATCTCTACTAAAAATATAAAAATTAGTTGAGTGTGGTAGTGCACTCCTGTAGTCCCAGCTCCTCGGGAGGCTGAGGCAGGAGAACTCTTTGAAGCCAGAGATGGAGGTTGCAGTGAGCTGAGATCACGTCACTGCACTCCAGCCTGAGTGATAGAAAAAGCCTCTCTCAAAAAAAAAAAAAAAAAAAGACTGTGGTTCCTACTGTAGTGGTCTTCCATTATTTCTTTCCTTCCTTCCATTATTATTATTCAAAATATATTTATTGAATACCTACCAAAGTCTGACCAATATTTTGGGGGCTGAAGAATTAAATGTGATCAAATCAGTGACTGGGTTTTAGAGGCTGGAGAAATGTGTACCTCCCAAAATAAGTATGCTGCAATACAAATGTCATCAGATCTATAAGTCACATATAATATTATGGAAGCAGTAAACTAAAACAGACATTGATTCTGTCTTGGGGTGAGAGGATCATAGTGAGCCAAACCTTGAGAATATAGCTACTTGCTCTGTAAAGAAGGGTGAAGCTATTGTAGGCAATGGAAACATTCTGCTTGCAAAATCACCTAAGGGCTTTCAGTTTTCGTAGAATAAATGGAGAAAGTTATTACAGAAGGAATAGGCCTAGATTTCACAGAGGAATTCTCCTAAATCTTCAAAGATCATATGCTCCCAATGCTACTTAAATCATTTTTGAATATAGAAAAACAAGAAAAGCCACAAGAAAGTTTTGTGAAACAAAAAATATGTTGTCACCTAATCCATATAAAGATAGTACAAAAAAGAAACTATAGACCAATCTCACTTATGAATACAGAAGTGAAAATGTAAACCTATTAGCAAACAGAGCCCAAGAACTCATCATAAAAATAAAACATCATGACCAAGTGACATTTATTCCAAAAATGTAAGGATGGTTCAATATTAGGTAATCTACTAACACAATTTAGATATTTATAAATCTAAGTAGAAAATCATATGATCATCTTCCTTCATCTTCAATCGTCTATGAAGATTGCCTTTGACAAAAATTGGTAACCATTCCTGAACCATTCTTGATTAAAACACTAAAAAAAAAAAAATAAGAACTGATGATTTCGTCTGATCAGATATATAACTTATATATATATATATATATATATATATATATATGTATGTATAAACCCATACATGCACACACACACATTGCAGTCCTAAAGCTGGTATATTAGGTATATTACTTAATGGAGAATACTAGAGGCATTTACAGAAAGGCCAAGAACAAGGCAAGAATGTCCACTAACTCCACTATGATCTAAACATATGTTATGGTTGGGCACAATGGCTCATACCTATTATCCCAACATTTTGGGAGGCTGAAGTGAGTGGATTACTTGAGGTCAGGAGTTCCAGACCAGCCTGTCCAACATGGCAAAACCCTGTCTCTACTAGAAATACAAAAAATTAGCTGGGCCTGGTGGCATGTGCCTGTAATCCCAGCTACTGTACTTAGGAGGCTGAGGCAGGAGAATCGCTTGAACCCAGGAGACAGAGGTTGTGGTGAGCCAAGATCTCACCATTGCACTCCAGCCTTGGTGGCAGAGTAAGATTCTGTCTTAAAAAAAAAAAAAAAAAAAAAAAAATTAGAGGTACTATTCCATTCAATCAGATCGAAATATGTTAAAAAAATATGTTAGAGGTACTAATCCATTCAATCAGATTGGAATAAATAAAAGAGCCATGAGAATTAAAATAGAAGTAAAACTATCTCTATTTACCATTGATATTGTAGTATATCTGGAAAATCCAAGACAATCAATGAAAACACTAACACAATTTTAAAAATCAGTAAGGTAATAGACTATTAAAATACAAAAATCAGAAGCCTTTCTATGCATAAACAATAGCTAGATAATGTAACAGAAGATGAAACTTCAGTTGCATTAGTAGCAAAAAGAGAATCTATTTAATTCTAAGTTTAATAGGAAGTGTGTAGAACTTATATGAGGAAAAATTAATATACTTCTGAAAGATACAAAAGTGGACTTGAATAAGTTTGGAATTTTTTCTCATTTTTGAATAGTCCTCATAAACATCACAAAGCTACAATTTATTCCCATCTTAATAAATTTAGCATAATCTTAATAAAAATAACAAAGTTGTTTTTATGGAGCTAGTCAAGTAGATTTTGAAGTTTATATGAAAAAATAAAAATAGCTACAAGAACCTCAAAAAAAAGGAAAATGAGAGGTGACTAGCCTTACTAGATATTTTTTAAGCAGTTTTATTGAGGAATAAATCAATATAAAAAACATGCACTTATTTAATATATACAAGTTTGTACATTTGAACATTCACAAACACCTGTGAAACCATCACCATAATTAAGATAATAGAAATATTCATCACCTCCACAAGTTTCCTTTTAAACATTATAAAGTTTCCTTGTGCTCCTTTGATGGTTTCTCATATGTGCATGCAGGTATGGTAAGAACGCTTAAATGCAAGCTCTATCCCTTTATCAAATACCTTGCCAGATATTAAAACATACTATAAAGCTTCTAGAATTAAAACAGTGTGGTATTGATTCATGAGTACATAGCTCAATGGAAGTGAATAGAAAGCTCACAAATAGACAAAAGTGTATATGAAAATGTAGTAATGAAAAAGACATTATCCCACTGGAATGTCATAAAGCAAGAAAGTACAAAAAAAGTGGGTATATTTAAAAAGAACACAGGTAGATCTGGTAGGTGCTCAAATTGGTCAAAATAGGGATAATTTTAGCATCAACAGGAATTATGATGTTAATAGATTATGGTACATAGAAGATAAAAAAGACCATAGGTTATCAAAAATAAATGAATAAATAATAAATACATAAATTAATAGGTAAGTTCAAGGGTAAGAAAGGAAATCTCTTTATGGAGGAATATCTACTAAAATGTAGAAGAAAAAATAAAATAATAAAACCATCAGTTTAGAATACCAACATAAATAACTGATTCAGATGAGATATGTTAATGGATGACTAAAAAGTTTTGGGGGAACTGGATATTTATATAGTCTCAAGTATCACCCCACAGTTTACTTATTAATTGCAAAAGATGAACAGTTCAATGAAAATAGATCTAGTAGATATTACCTTTACCAAGTGATCAAACTGACCATCACTAATAATGAAAGTCATATTATGCATCTTTTCATAAGATACAATGGGAAATGCACAATATTACCTTTGTAGAATTCTTCCCCAAAGAATCTAATCATGAGAAAACCATCAGACATATTCAGAGTAGGTTACTAAAGAGATATGACAACCAAATGTAACGTGAAAATATGATTGATTCTAGAATTCTCAGATTTTGAGAATAGAGGAAATCTGAATATAAACTCTATATAAATAATATTTTATATCCATGTAGGATTTATTGTATGTGGTAATAGTTGTGAATTGTAGGAGAATGTCCTTCTTCCTTCCTGTGAGAATCTGGGAAAATATACTTAAGTTCTTTGGAAATTTTATCTTCACTTTCTGTCATTGATAATCTGTATTATAATGTCACATTAGCTTGACACATTATACCCAGTCATCTTTAGCAAGGCTGTCTAGAACAGTGTGCATTTCATTTACCAGAACAAGTTATTCGTTTTTTAAAAAAGAAAAATATCTTTGCTAAC